TCATGCTTTTTGCGTTGGTAGCATTCAGCAAACAGAGGAAAAAAGGAAAAACAAACTGGAAAGAGAAGGAAGATACCAAGCACCTGAGTGGGGAGGAAGGAAGCAGCGGGGAGGTGATGAGAGGTGACATAAGAGTAGTTGAAGGGGCACACTGTCCCGCAAATGTCAGCTCAGTAAGCAGCTACTGCGCTGCAATCCTGGGTGATAGCACTAATTATGTAATCGTGACCTTGCAATGAGCTATTGCACAACTTGCGTAGATTTTCAAGATTTGATGTTCTCTGAGCACTGAGATCAGTCTGCTGCAGAGAGGAAGGGCTTTAATGAGTTGTGTTAGGTGATAGGGGAGAGAGGATGAGTGATAGTCACTGTTTCCTTGGGGGACAGACGGACAGGGACTGTTTTACTGTATTTCCCACCTCCAGGGTGAAGGCACAGTTTGAGGTGGTGGTCAGCTGTATTGCAGGAGCTCCATCTTCCTTGAGATGCCTCAGTGCAGTTGTAAGCGATGATGTATTTAAGGAAGAAGATGCTTCAAAGGATGCTATGCTCCATGGTCACCCCTCCATCCATCATTAATCCATATAGAAGAAACTCATGTTTTGGTGGTCTGATGTTACTCCCAGACAGAACTAGGAGAATCGTGATAATAAGATGTAATTAATAAAGAACACAATGTGGAAATATAATTAATGTAAATCAAATAAGATTGAAGAAAAATGGGTCTTTTTTCCCTTGTTATAGTAGAAGCAGGTATCTGGGTAAATGTGATGCATATGTAAGGGTTATGTGCTAGAACAACATGACCCTAAAAATGTGAAAGTGATAAATAGACCACAGATGTTCTTTGGTGCTCAGAAAGCACTTGGCAAGGAAAATCCTCTAAGATTGGAGGCATGTTAAAGGTCTGCTGCTGTTCAGCACTTTCATTTGGTATGGAGCAAACATATGTAAACCTTACTAAATTCACAGGTGATGTGCATGTTACCAAGGTAAGTAGTACTGAGAGTAGGAGAGCTGTATAGAGCCATATAGACAGTTTACTGAGTTGTCTCCTCCAAAAGAAATGCGTTTTTTTGTTTGTTATGTATTTCTTGATGTTATGTTCTCCAGAGTTGTAGCAGCAGGACAGGCACAGAGTGCACAGCATCGCGGTGAGGAGTGCTGCCCTGCCAAGAGCTTACTGTGGTCTGGAGCGATGCAAACAGCAGCAGTCAAAATGAGAGCACCAGCTGAATTTTACCTCTTTTCTTTTTTTTTTGGTGTGTGATCAAATGCAGGCTCCAGTTCTGTGCGCTTGTTCTCTGAAGGGTGTTTAAAAGCTGGGAAGGTCATTAAAATGATTCAAGGGCAGGAGGAAAAAAATGCCAGCGCATGAGAAATATAAAGAGCTCGGTCTGTTTAACTTGTCAAAAAAGATTGAGAGATGACTTGATTATGCTGCAGAAGAGCCTTTCTAGTGAGAACACAAAGCAGCCCTTGTGGTGGGGAAGGGCATTAAAAAGCTGATGGCTGAGAGCTGGAGCCAGGCAAACTTCAGTCACATCTTTAAATATCAAGCAGTAAAATAAGCTGTGCAGGCAAGCAGCAGATACTGCGTCTCTCTATCTTCCAGTCTGGAGTGGATGCCTTTATAGAAGATATTCTTTAGATAAACATAAATTGTTTGGCTGAGCAGAACATGAAATAGTGAAATGGAAGCACCTGCCAGCACAGCCAGCTTGGCAAAGGGTCTGCTGGTCCCTTCTGGCTCTTAGCATCCCCGCCGTGCTGGGTGCCGTCAGCCTGGTGACTCGGGCAGAGCATTTCTCCTTCCCAAGGTCATTCTGTACCTGGATCTGCTTCATGCTGCATGCTGCCCTGTGCACTTGCCCTGCTGCAGAGCGCTCAGTGTTCACTGCTTAATTGGAAAAGGTGCAGGGAATAAATCTAGAGGCGCTGCAGAAAATCACAGTGCCACTCTTGTAACAATTAAGGCAAATGGTTTTGCCAGGCAGCACTCCGGGGTTTTGTCGTCTACCTGTGTGATCTGCAAAGCACAGGGCTTCAGCTGAGAGAGGAGGCTCAGCTCTGCCTCTCTGCGTTGGCCAGGGCAGGTGACCATTGCCTCTGAAATGTTTTCAGCCTGCAGACAAGCAGTGCACGTAACAGTTTTAATTCTGCAATGACTCTTTTTCACATTATGTTATTTCTGATCCTGCTCTCCTGACTGAGGGAAGTAAAATAACATATTGCTGTTGTGTTCTGACCGTAGGCAGAGTTTGACTGAAGGATTTAAGCAGGTTAGGAGCCTGTGCCCTATTTCTGGTGCTCATTGCACACCCTTAGCCTGTTTCAGTATTGGTTTGGCTGAGGTGGTTTGGAGCTTCGTTTTTTGGCACATCAGCCAAAAAGTTCAGCCCCTTCTGTTTGAGAGACGTTGCTGCCAAGAAGACTGAAGGAGAACAAGGCTGGGGAAACTTTGTGCAGAGTGACTGGAGGTAGTTAGTTAGCTGCAGCAGTTGATGGATGGTGGAAGGCTCTTGTCTCTGTGATAGCAGCTCATCCTTTGCATTGACTCATTCCTGGCTTCTTTTCCAGAGTTTCTCCATTATCATTATTTTATTTTTTTATTTTTTTAAATATCTATGTGGCATAGCTGTGAATGTGATTGGGAATACTGATAAGTGCCCACCTGTAGGGAGACACAAAGGGCAAGTGAGAGCAGCTCAGAATTACCTTTTTCCCTCCTCTTATTCCCCTGCCCTATGCTGAGCAGGGTGGCTGATGGCAGTGCCCCAGCCCCCAGCTTTGAGTCAGCACGGGTGATGAAAGGCAGCAAGCATACCTTGACTTGCCATCATGCCATGCTCTGTCCCAGGCCACTGTCTTGGTGTCAGATGTGGATGCATGGTCTTCTAAGCATTGTGCCTGATTAGTTTGGAGAAATAATCTAGAGATCTTTTTTAAGCAGATTTTTTTTTAAGCAGTGTTCTATAGCTGGGCAAGTGAATGTTTTTCCATTGTTTAACTTCAACATATGTATCAGTTGTTTTGGATCTGCTTGCCTAGCAAAGCTCTCACATCTGCTAACCTAGCAGGTGCAGAAAGATGTGTGCAGAGAGCACCTGTGTAGGGGTGGGCTGGGAAGTGACAGACATGGGTGACAGAAAGGCTGTTTGAGGAGGTCAGTGTGAGGGATGACAGGGAGCGTCAGGTCAGGCTGTGCGGTGCTCTCTGAAGGGACCCCAGAAACCCCACTGGGGGACCAAAGCAAACTGTACAGGCTTGTAGAAGAAGCATCAAAGGGAGCATTTCTGCAGCAGCTGGGGAGGTATGCGAGGCTGCTTAGGCTTTGCTTTTGCTGATGCCTGTATTAATGTTCTTGCCTGAAGGTTTGGAGTTTGAAAGCTCTTTAAAAAATATTTTTACGTTTGTGTGACTTCCTGATTTATACAATACGCTTCATGCATTGCTGTAGGCAGACAAACAATACAAACTGTAGTTAATGTTAACAGAAAACATATATATTCTGTTCTGTCAGCCCACAGGGACATGCATACCCATGCAGCACCATATGTGGGGATGGCAGCTGGTACAGAGCCCTGGGGCCAATGTGCTCACCCAGCTGGAAACCTCGGGGTACTGGAAGAAAAGGGACTTTATGGCTGAGTTTATGTAAAAAGAAAAAAAATCTCTTTGCATTTCATTGCAGGTAAAATTGGAGAAGTAGGATTAGAAGTATTTTGATATCTTACTTATTTTTATGAAAATGCCTGTTAGGCTGAGACCCAAAGAAAGATGCTATTAGGTTAAGCAGCTTGCTGCACAAGCAAGTGTTCTGCATCTTTTAGAGAAGTTCTTACAGATATCCTTGTGTCTCTCTAAAGTAGCAAGGAATGACTTATTCTTTTAAATATTTGGGGATCTTGAGTTCTTCGGTCTGAGTAGCTTCATCATTTCTTTAGCAAGGGGTGCCGGGAAGCTGGTGGGTTTCTGAGAGCACTGTGACTTAGCAGTGTTGCATTCCCTCCTCAGTGCTGTCAGCCTGATAGCAAGAAGTAAGATAAGAGAAACTGTGGGTGGGTTGGAGGTTTGTTGCGTGAATCCTGGTTAGCAGATGGACACTTTTGAATGGACTTGGATATTCTGCTTTGTTCGGAAGACTTGGAGCTGATGTGGTGCAGGATGAGTCCTGTGTGTGGGATGAGGGTTGGAGCTTTCTAGTGCCAGCAAAAGCAATTAATAGTAATGATATTCATTACATGTTCATTATATAACGTGGTTTGTTCTGTGAAACAGACTGCTAGAGAAGGAGGATGAAAATAGCAGCTTTTAATTTCAGAGGGCTGAGCCTCTGAAGGCTGCACCCAGGAGGGAAGAGAAGCTCCTTAATTCCCTGTGCTCTGACCCAGGCAATGTGCAGTGGGAATGGTGCTCTCGGGGGTTTCCCTGCTGATGCCATCCCAAGTGCTGACACTGGGGAGTGTTTTGGCTGCGCCCCTCTATTCCCCTGTTGTCCATCTGGGATGGCTCCTGCCTTCAGTACCCTTGCTGCTGCCTGGCCTTCTCCTTTCCTGCTGACATGGAGCAGTGGCTCTCTGCTGCTCCTCACAGGTAGTTGCTGTGGGGTTTAGGAGGTGTTTGGAGCTTGGTCACACAGCACACCTCGGTCTGCCTGTGGGTGTTATTGCTTGTCCTCATGAGTTGAGTAGATCTGTGCATAGAGCCACCTTGCGTGCCTGTGTGCACCTGGACTCAATGCATAATTGATTGGTACAAATACTTGAGGTAGGTAGGGTGTTATGTATATTTTGAGTATCTGCTGGGCTTGCTGGATGTCAGGCTTTGTTCCAGAGGTGGCTGGGAGCAGTTGACGAGGCTGAGTAACAGAGCACAGCGTGAGAGCAAAGTGCTGCCAGGCTGATCTTCTGCAAGGCCTCCTCTGCTTCTCCTTCGCTGTTACAGCAAAGGGCTCTGAGCACAATGGCTAACTGCCCCTTCTCTTCTTTTGTTTCCAGATGGGGATGGTCGGAGACTCAAAGGAGCCATCCAAAGGAGCACAGAAACAGGGCTGGCTGTGGAAATGCCCAGCCGGACCGTGCGCCAGGCCAGCCACGAGTCCATTGAGGACAGCATGAACAGCTATGGATCGGAGGGAAAGTGAGTCACTGAAAGTGGGCTGGGTGATTGCTCTGCTCTTGTACCTGTTAGGTTTTTTTAGATGTGTGTGTCTGACTTGTTTATGCTGCAGTTGCACTGCCCATCCAATGAGAGCAGAGCACATTGCTCCCTCTTCCTGCATAGCTGGCACATACTACAGCTGTTTATATACTTTTTAAAGTGTTCTCATTATTCTGAGCTGAAGCTGATACCCATTACTTTTAACAGCTCTGCCTTTAGAAGAATAATTCAGGGTGAATAGCTGAGGCTCATTACTGGTAAATAGATTATAAGCCAGTAGTCTTCAACATTGCTTGGTAGCTCTCTGTCTCCCCTATTGCAGAATATATTTTTGGTTTGGGAAGCAAAATTGTGCTGAGGTGATGAAAATGATGCAAGTGACAAAACAGTGACTCTGATATTAAAGTTTAAGAACCGTATTTACAAGTTCTTGTTAAAGAACTTTTCTTTTGGATTTGAGTAGTGTCCTAAAAAGTGTGTTTTAGAACCAGGTTTTAACCACAAGAAGTTATGACTCACTTTGTTGCATTTGTAACTGAATGCAAAGCATCAGGGTCCAGAACTTCAGGAACTGCTTTGTCTTTACTTCCATTTTCTGTATTTCCATTATTTGAAGCCATATATGGAAATTACCATCATTTGATTATGATGGCCATTCATGGGAATCTTGGAAGTGGGGAAAAAAATACCATAAAACAAACCAGTATTAAAAAAGGGTAGGCAATATATATCGTATGGTTCCATGTTTCTGGTTATGAGACCAAAATGTTTATACACCTAAAATGTGTTCTGGTTAAGTCTGGTGCCATACATGGCTTCACTCTGTACACGCTCTTCAGTCCTGTGTGATATTCCATGTACTGTACTGCTGGAATACCAGGATAGTCCAAAGGCTCCCTCAAATAATTAATGCAGTTCTGGTGTTAAATAAGTAACAGGCTGTAAATTAAGAGATACTTTCTTTAGCTTTGGAAGTAGGCTAATCCTGGAAAGGCATCACAGGTCTGTGCTGAAGGTTGGAAATAGTAATGAGGCACAGGCTGCGATAGCAATCTTGTCGCTCTGAAGCCATGATGTACTTTATCTCTTCAGTGAGCTGTTGTCTCGGGGGATATATTCCATCTACACCACCACAGTCCTGTGGCTTGGAGTTCTGCTTCTGCTCTGAGATTCAGAGGATTAGTGATTAAGTTCGGTCCCTTGGCACTGTGAGGCAAGAATCTGCTTTCGTGCAGAGTGAAATATTTTTCCCTTTATATTTACATTGCTTGTCCTTCAGGGAAGGGTATTCTTTGCTGTATCCTGTCCTTGCATTTGCTGGCTTTTTTGGCTGGTCGTTCCTGGAGAGAAGATGTTTCTGCCAAGACAGTGCTGCACCCATACAAACACCCTGAAGGCAAGCAGCACGTAGCTATCAGTGTGGCAGAGAAATCCTGCATTGCAATCCAAATGTCTTTATTAGAACACGTCTGACATTCGGTATTCAAGCCTCAAATTCTGCTGGAGCATCCTCACCAGCCCCTGTGCTGGGGTGGGCTGCTTCCTGCTCTCGCTTCTCTGAAGTGCGTGATAAGGGATTCCTGGATGCTTTGTTCAGGTGGGATAATTGATCTTGGAGAGCCCATGGGAACTGTGGCTATCAGTCTGAGCCACGCTGATAACAAAGGGCTGTGAGTACAAAGAGCTGAGAGCACCCTATTCTCTTGGAACGTGGTGGGAGGGGATTTTCTTTGCTTTTTTTTTTTTCCTGTGGCAACGAAAGGAAGTGTTTGGGGAATAGCTTCAAGGGGCAAAAATGTATCCTGCTGAATCAGACTTCTCTTGGCTTCTCCTGTTTGCTGTAGATGCCTTCCCAGGGAAGTGCAATGAAGATTCATATGACTGTTAGCAGTGGCAAGTTTATTTTTTTTCACTGCTGGTTTTTGACTCATGCAGATAGTCCTAGGCCAGGGAGCTTTTGCTGGTGACTGTTAGAAACCTGATCTTCAGCAGCACGAGGTTACCCTGGTTCTTCCTACCCGTTTACCTCTTTGGTATGCACACAGAGGGAAGAAGATGGATTCAAAACACTGTTTTCTGGAAGAGCTTTTTTCCAGAGTTCATTGTTTTCCTGATCCTCTTCATTTTAAGGACTAAATGACAACTCCCGAAGGTGATCCACTGAAGTGATGAACATTTCAGTAAAACTTTGCTACCTGCTCTCTGTCAACCAAGACAAGACTGAGTTCTGTCATGTTCACTTGGACTGGCTGCAGCTAGCTCCAGCTGCTCTGTTGCAGAGCAGAGAATCGCAGTCAAAGAACTTCATATACTGCATGATTTTGAGCAGCACTGCTTGCAGTGTGGTTGTCATAATTTCATAATGCGTGAAATCTGGATCATTGTATGGAAAGACCTTGTATAGGGATATACTTCTCAGGTATGGTAGGCCCTCCTTCAGGAAAATGCTCATCTCAGGGTGTGATCCGAAGGCTGAAGTATGTGGAAGGTTAGCTGATCTGCAGGATGGAGCTGGAATGTGAGCTCATACAGCACTCAAGAGAGAGCTGATGATGTCAGTGCACTGCTCCATTGATTGGTTTTTTTTGCAGTTAAGAAAAAAATTTCCCCAAGTACATTACTCAGCTTTTATCCTGCACAGTAGTTGTGCACTAGTATAGGAAATTAATATAATAAAACTCAGTCTGAGACCTTATAGAAGGGGAAAGTGATATTTATTTCAGAGAAACCAATTTTCAGTCATTAAGGCTTCTAGATTTCTCCCCCTGGCTCAATGTGCAGGCGCCAAGCCTCATGTATTGGTGTGCTCTGCCAGCCTGGGTTGCGTGCTGCAGGGACCAGGAACACCATCTGTCTCGTCCTTACTGTGGCTTCTGAGTTGTTCTTTCCAACAGACTGTTTCTTGGATGGCTTTCTTACACTTTCTAGGACTTGCATCTTATTGTGGCGTGATCTTTCAGCTCGGAGTCTTACTTTCTTCATCCTCCACAGATCTCACATAGGTATCTCCATTCACAATTCATCCAAACCATCCCTTGTACTGGGTACAGATTTCTGCAGCAGTGTTTTCAAAGTACATATTTAGCAAATTGCATGAGAGGGCAGCTCCCCATGTAACATGTGCCTACCAGGCAGTCCCATGGCAGCACCGATATCACCACAGGAAAAGAATTCAGCAGAGGAGAGTAACTCTCAAACATACCTTTGGGATTCAGCAGCTCTCTCCTAGCTCTTGCACAACCTACATCTTGTTTTGGCTGAGTTTTGTTGCAGCTGCACAAGACATCCAGAAAGCAACAAGCTGCACAAGACATTCAGATTCTGGACTTGTGTATAACTTATTCCTGCCAACCACTTTTCTTTCTGAAAATGCAGCAGAAAGACAAAAATGGGCCTGGAACAAAAGGCTGCTAGCTGCTGTGGTCCCTAATACATGCTACTTGTCAGGTTTTTCTGTTCTTGCTGGCTGCTGCAGAGATGATTAACTTACAGAGAGCTGAGGTGACATTTACCTTAGAAAGGCCCAGCAGGTGAAGAGAGCAAAAACGTTGAGGTCTGTTCTTGTAATTGTTGAGATGAGCTTTCCTGTCCAGCAAGGAAGCTTCTTGATAGCCGCATCATTGCCCTTTTTCCCATCACAAGATTACCTTACCTGCTTCTCCTGCAGCCGCTGTGGTGTTGGGCTCAAGGCAGCCTGTGCTGGGTGTGGGCATCCTGTGCCTCTCGCTTGTGTTCTGGCTCTTGCTGTGCCTGTAAGCCACAGCTTGTTCTGGTTTTCCCATGAGTGCCTATGAGGGAGCAGTCCCAATGACAACTAGTTTCTGAGCTGCCTGCCTTTGTCTGCTTTACTATGAAGCAGGAACCAGAAGGAAGCTGGAGACGGCACTGATGTGCCTTGTGCCTTACCTATCCCCTTCAGATTTGCTGTCCTTCACCCAGAGATCAGCACTGGTACCATTGTTACTCCAAAAGCAGAGGAATGCTTGATCCCTAAAAGCACCATCTGAATTATTCATGCTGTAGCTATTCACTGACATCCTCTTTCTTGGTGTTCATAGCCAAGGGACTTCTAGTCTCTTTTATGACAAATTACCTTTAGGGCTCTTCTTTTATCTGAGTCTTTTAAAAGAAATGTATTGTTAATATGTTTCAGGCTGTAGAATACCGAGACTCCGAGGTCTTAAGCTGGAAATCAGTGAAGGCAAGGAGAGTTGTTTCTGTAGCATCCCAATAAGTGAGTGAGCCTGTTCAACAGCAGCAGACCCTTGTGCTGTTCAGCTTGACCAGCATGGCTCAGAGTGGCTGTGCCCCTATTGTCACAGGGCTGAATGCATGGAATCCCACCTGCAGTGACCAGAGGACAGGCGGCAGTGGGTGTCTTTTTTTGAGCACGGCTGAGACAAGCTGTGGAACTGGAGCTTGCCTGGCAAGGTGGGGAAGGAGTGGGGGAGGCCTTGGTACACTGTTCCCTGCCTCATTTTTCTAGCACAGTTTAAGTGGCAGAATTCATGCAGCAGACGGAAGCGCACACAAACGGAGTACAGCGTGTTACTGCACATAAGACAGTACGTCACAGTGCTAAAAATGTTACAGCGAGTGGAGTGGCTGGGAGAGAGCAGAGCTTGTTGGGAGGCAGAGACGGAGCTGTGAGGCTGAGCAGAGCTGTGTGGTTGGTGCTGCGAGCTCCACGTCAGGTGCTGCGGGGAGAGGTGCTCTCACAAGCCTTTCACAGCCAAAGCAAAGGCTCCTGCAGCGCTCACATCAATTTTGACAGCATACGGGGCTGTGTGCCCGGGCTTGTGGCACTCAGGTGTGCGTTGCATTAATAATTCCTGATGTGTACTGGACGTGTTGTAAAGGCAGGGGTAGGGGATGCTGAATTAACCAGTTCTGCCTTCTTCCTTGTCTGGCAAACAGCAATGTGGCTTTTGTGTGTGATAGATGCAGTTTAGGAGAGCTTAATGTGCAGTGTGGATGAT